CCGGAGTCTCTCCAGTATCTTCCGGGTGCCTCAATATAGCGTAGTGGCAGACTGCCAGTGCTGCTGGAATCCTTCCAGCCAAAACCGTTTTCCCGCCCAGTGGAAATTAGGATTGAATTCGCCTATATGTTGTTGAAGAGGTGGACCACATTATTCAGCAGACACGGGATTTAGAAGGTACGGTGGATGAAGTAGCAGTGATGACAATCTTGCAGGAAAAATTACCTAAAGAAATTGCTTTCGAACTTTCACGGCTTGAACTAGGAAGGATGGATGCATGGAACACGGATATGATGTTGCATGAAATACACTGTATACTTGAGGCAAGGGAGAGAGTAGGGTATAACACTTATACCAGTTTTCGTAGATCGGTATATCAGAAAGATTTTAAAGCTCCTAAACCCACTCTGTGTACGCCGTTACGGAAGAACGCAATAGACCACCCACGACAACCTTGTGTTTTTTGCCGAGGCCAACATTTCAGTAGTAATTGTAACGTTTATAAAACGTTAGAACAGAGGAAAAGGAGGGCATATGAGTTGGGCTTATGTATTTGATGCTTGAAAACGGGTTATCGATTTAAAGACTGTAAAATAGTTAAAATTTGCTATTATTGTAAGAAGGACCAAAATAGTGCTTTTTACGAACGATTTGGCAACCAAACAACCTCCTCCAATCTTTACCTAAAACATTCTCAGTCTCTATTGTTGTAACTTGTTTGCTAGCTTCTTTTTGGGAAGTCTTTGGTGACGTCACCATTTTCAAACCATTTTCAAATGGTGACGTCACCAAAGACTTCCCAAAAAGAAGCTAGCAAACAAGTTACAACAATAGAGACTGAGAATGTTTTAGGTAAAGATTTATCGGAAGTAATATTGCCAGTCATTAAAGTAAGGGTAAGCAACCCATCGAATGAAGCTAAAGACGCGGAAGTCTATGTTCTGTTGGACAGTGGAAGTCAAAGATCATTCGTTACTAATAAGTTGGCAAAACAACTAGATATTTTACTCCCGGATAACGACAAACTAATTCTTCATACATTTGCTGTACAGGACTCAACACGTCATGTTCTACCTAAAGCTGAGTTAAATTTACATTTGACTGACGGGGTGTTGAAGTTACTACGATTCAATGTCATTGAGAATATGACAACAAAGTTAAATACGCGTGTAATAGATTGTACCGGAGTAACGTCTGCGAGTCAATCAGTGAAGCCATATATTTTAATTGGTGTTGATTATTATTGGGAGTTGATAAATTTAGGATTAACGAAAACACGGGACGAATTTTATGTAGTGCCAACTAAGATGGGTAAGGTGGTTATGGGCAAACAAAAAATTGAGTCAAATAAAAAGAATGTCACAAATAACGTAATTGTTTGTTATACGCTAGCGGATACAATAACGCAATTTTGGGACCTGGAAACATTAGGAATAAAAGAGTCGCCTAACGAAGATGAAGACGACGTAGCCCTAGAACAATTTTATAAAACTCTAGAAGTTAAGAATCAACGTTATGATGTGAGTTGCCGTATAGAAATCTCGATTGTATTGTGGTGGACAATTATTCTCTTTGTTACTCTCGTTTGAAATCGGTAAAGAATCGTTTAGCTAAAGAACAGTTGTTGGATAAATATGATGAGATTATAAAAGACCAATTATCAAACTGGATTACTGAAGAAGTTAAAAATAATATGTCAAAGAACCATGTGTCATATCTACCACACCACCCGCTAATAACACCAAATAAGTAAATGACAAAAGTAAGAATTGTTTATGATGCTTCTGCAAAATCAAGTAAAAATATGCTAAGCTTAAATGAGAGTTTGTATCGCGGACCTGTAATGTTACCAGAGTTATGTGGTATTTTAATGCGTTTTCGGACGTATAAATATGGCGTCATAGCAGATATCAAAAAGGCATTTTTACAGATTGAACTCCATGAGGAAGATCGAGATATGACAAGATTCCTCTGGGTTAAGGATATACAAACAGGCTTGTCTCCAAAGAATTTAATTATATATCGATTCCGCAGAGTAGCATTTGGTGTTATATCAAGCCCATTTTTTTAACTGCTGTGGTTAGGTATCATTTAAATAATGAAATTCAAGAGGCCAACCGTAGAGGAAACGCAGAAGAAGTGGATACGTTACAGCGATTACGAGACCAAATTTATGTAGACAACTTGATCATGGGAACTGACAGTCCTGATAAGATCAGTTATTTATATAAATTGGTTAAACGGGTATTCGATAAAGCATCCTTAAATATGCGGGCATGGGCATCTAACATTCCCAAATTTAATGAGTTGGTACCGGAAAGTGATTTGGACAAGTCAAAGACGCAGAAGGTTTCAGGGATACCTTGGCAGTTGGATAAAGATGAATTTCAGTTGTGTTTCCGCAAGGGTAAACATAAAGATGAGATCGTCACAAAACGTACCATTTCATCTCGACTAGCGCAAAATTACGATCCTTTAGGATGGGCAGCTCCATCTAATCTTAAGGCGAAATTATTGGTCTAGTCATTATGGCAACAATCTTTTGCCTGGGACGAAATTCTACCACAAAATATCCAACGAGAATGGCAAGACATAGAAAGGTCATGGAATGAAGTAGAGAAAGTAATTATATCTAGAAGAATAGTACAGACAGGAAGCGAAGAAAGTCGGGAGTCACATGTATTCGTAGATGCCTCATTGCACACGTATGCAACGGTACTATATTTAAGAGATAAAGTGAATCGAAGTTACCAAACAAACTTAGTTTTTTGTAAGAACCGTTTAGAGCTAATTAAGAGTATTTCAATTCCACGTTTAGAATTATTAGCTTTGTTAATTGGTGTACGTGCGTCCTCATGCGTATAACGAGAATTAAATTTAACGCTATCGCGTCGTGTATTATGGACCGGTTCGAAATGCGTATTTTACTGGCTAAAAACGTCAAAGATTTTGTCAGTATTCGTAATGAACAGGCTGAGGGAAATAAAACAAGCTAAAGGTATTGAGTTTCGCTACCTACCATCCAAAGAAAATATAGTCGATTTAGCCACAAGAGGTTGTACTCTTCAAGAATTAGTGAAGAACCAGCGGTGGTGGAAAGGACCTCACTGGCTAAGTTTTGTGGAAGAATTCTGGCCAAAAGAAATGACCTATGAGGATTTAGAAAGCGAAGAAGAATGGAAACAAGAACATCAAATAGAAGTGTTAAACATAAGTAAAAAGCATTTATGGATTAAACTCTCTGATTTTTCAAGTTAGTATAGGTTACTGAGGGTTGTATGTTATGTTTTAAGATTTTTAAAACAACGAATTCGGAATAAGTTACTTATAATCCTCACAGAAAAGTTTCCAACGATCTCTTCAATTTTCAAGAATATTAAAGGTGGTGGTTATATTACTGCAATGGAACAACGGACAGCAGAATATTTATTGGTTAGACTAAAACAACAGCAGTTTTTTAGCGGGCAAATTACTGCTGTAAAGAAAGACAAACGGGACAAATTGAAGGATCGATTAGGTCTTTATTTAGATAATCAAATACTCCGATGCGCAGGCCGTTATCAGTCCTTGCAGATGCCTGAGGATAAGAAATATCCAACGTTAATAAGCCATCAAGGTGAGTTGGCGCGATTATTAATAGGAGAAGCTCATTTAAGAACTATGCATATGGGTCTCCAATCAACTTTAACTGAGTTGAGACAGCGTTGGTGGATCACAAAGGGGAAAGCAACAGTTAAAAAATATCTGCGTCAATGTATAATGTGCAAAAGACATCAGGGAAGCCGTATGCGTTGTCTAGAATGCCACCTTTACCTACCTTCGAAGGTAACAGTTGTAGACCTTTTGAAATAATTGGACTCGATTATTTCGGCCCAGTTTTAGTCAAGTCAGAAGATAATACACATATTAAAATAAAAAAATGGGTTTGCCTTTTTACTTGTTTAGCAACTAGGAATATACATCTTGAAGTAGTTCACGATATGAGTACTGTGAATTTTTTAAATAGTTTTAGGCGTTTTATTGCATTAAGAAGTCAACCAAGAATAATATATTCCGATAATGCTACACAATTTAGAGCAGCAAATAAAACTTTGGCGCAGTTATGGAATAAGCTCATTGTAGACCAGGAGCTTTGCACTTACTATGCAAATCAAGGAATAATTTGGAGGTTTATCACCGAATACGCACCTTGGCAAGGAGTCTACTACGAACGGTTGATAGGAATCGTTAAGCTAGCGTTGCAAAAAACAATAGGTAGAAAGGTATTAAATTTTGCAGAATTTAGAACGCTGATCTATGAGGTTGTAGCTATTGTGAATTCAAGGCCGTTAACTTATGTTTACGATGAGCCAACTTCGCCTATAATTAGACCTATGGATTTCTTACAGTTAGGAGGGCCCACTGGTCTAATACCAGTTGGAACTTTTGAAGACCCTGATTATATTTTGCCCCAAGAAGGAAAGGAATTGTTCAATTTGTACAAAGGGAATTTAGCATTAACAGACGCTTATTGGGAAGTATTCAAAGAAGAGTATTTGTTAAGTTTGAGGGAACAACAAACAATGCTACATGAAGGCGACAAACAAACAACACATACTCTACCAAAGCCGGATGATACTGTACTCGTGAAAGAACTTGACCTCAGGCGAGGAGAATGGAAAATGGGGCGGATAAAAGCAATAAAAAAAAGGAACAATGGTTACATAAAAAGTATAACAGTTATTCTTCCAAATCAACGTCTAGTTGAACGGTCTTCTAACGTTTTATATCCATTGGAGTGTGCATTTATTGCAAAATCTGAAGATTCAATTTTCAGCTATTGTTAAACTTAGTTTAAATTTCCTTTTGAATAAGTATTCAACGTCTTTGATCATTATTATATTTTTCGTTTTTGTTTCGTTTTTTTTTCGTTTACATATACACCGTCTTTTTTTTACGTTCAATTTTTTCTTTATATTATTCTATTATAGGTTTTCTCTGTTTTAATCATTTTTTGTCATTTCTTCTTTGCAGAGTTATTTCATTTGGATAAGTATCCAACGATTTAATTTCTTTTAATTTACCTCGTTCCGTATTAAAATTTCTATTTTTTACGTGTTAATTTAATTCTTCATCTTTCGATAATGGCTTACGAGACACAAAATTCCTTTTCTTGGTCCACTGAGAAGAAATTAGACGGGGAAGCAGTCTATATAGTTTCACAAGTTAAGAAAGGATATACGATACTAGTTTTGGATGTCGATTTAGAACAAAATCAGGAATGGATTCATACTGCACCCATCATAATGCAGATGAATACGCGAGAGCTGTTAAACCCGTTTGACCAGGTACACGTAAGATCATATCAAGTAGCAAGATTAGGTAATCAATGTAGGGATATACCGTTATATAAACAGGTTTCAATTAGTTCATTTCTGCATCAGGGGAAATTGCGCCCTCCGACGCAAGCAGTGGACTTCACCATCGCAACGAGAGCGACCCCACATAGGATACTAGCTATGGTGCAATACACCAAAGTAAAACCATACACGGTGGCGATAACAGCTCAAGGTTTAGTAGGAGAAGAAAAATTATATGACGACAGAATCCGGATGAGGCAGTTACCAGTAATAGGTTCAACAGTAGAAGCGGAAGTTATCAATCTCCAGTCCGAACGCCTCAAATTTGAAACAGAATTTCAAAATACAAGACTTTTTTATAACCTGCCGAGGGCTTTCAAGAAAAAAGAGGTTGGAGGACACTTGTTAGGGACTCATAGAGTATGGGTTAGATATATTTATCCAGCTCCGCACTTGAGACGTGAAAGAAACATTCCCCAAAGGATACGTGACTTTCAAGGGAGTCGACAGGAGAAGATACGATTATATGAGGACCTGATGAATACGTCAGCCATTTACACAAATGAAAGAATGAAAGTTAATTTTTGGATAAGTAAAGCGAACCCAGCTCGAGCTAACGTCCGCATAAATCATCAGGGAAGGTTTACATCAGCAGATTTAAACTTTTTTGTTCCGTTTGACTCAAACGAACCCAATTGTGTGCGCATATTGGCAGCTAGGTTGAAGTTTTGAGAAGAAGCGAAAGAAATGAGAATTGAAATGGAAGAATCAAGCGCATGGTTATATCGTAGCGGAATGAAAATGGTCATTACCAAGGTCGAGTTGGACCAGTATAATAACATTGTCTTAGAGGGAAAGATGGACTGTGACCAGGTCCGGGTAGCAATGGATAGAGCTCCTAAAGTAATGAAGAATGGGGAAACGAAAGGAATCATAGTTTGTCCAGATATGGATAATATTGGTTATGAATCGGTAATTAGGGACCTTTCAGGAAGAAGGATTTCTGTCGCATTAGATGATAGAAGTAATTCTCGAAGGAGAGACTTGTTAGAAACGATGATGACCGTGCAGCATGATGGAGAGGCGATGGAAGTAGAAAGTGAACAAAGTGATCTTGCGTTTTCTGCCTCCAAAGAAGACGTTGAAATGGAAATACAAGGAAAGAGAAGGTTATTGACTGGGAAGCAGGCGCAAATATTGCAATCTTTAGGAAATGAAGATTTAAGTATGTTAGTTGTGCAAGCTCCAGCTGGCACCGGTAAAACACACATTATTTCTTTACATATTCTTAAGTTATTAGAAAGGTCAAGCGGTGTGATTTTTGTGACTGCACCTACTAATCTGGCAGTACAAGAAATATCTGAGAAAGTTTTCAATGATTTTAAATTTAAAAACGGAAAGGTATTATTTTTGCAATCTATTGTTAATGAGATAGCACCACAACAAATCGTGGGTAAGGCCTGGAAGAGGTGCCGAATTCCGGAAGTGTTACAGGCCCATCTGGACGCAGATTCAGAAGAAGTTAAAACACGGTTCATTGCCAGTTATACAGCTCGCCGTTTGTTGCATGATGGCAACGGATGGAAGAAGGAAGAAGCCCTTAAAACTGCTGTTGAGTTACAATTTACAAAACTAGTATGCGCCACTGTTCCAATGTTGAGAATGTTTATTCAAGTGTGGGAAGAGTACTTTGATATGGCAGATTTACAGTATCTGATAATAGACGAAAGCGGACTATCAGAAGAGGTATTTTTATTTACTTTTATTGCTCATTTTCCTAATATAAAACAAGTTTTGTTAACAGGCGATGAAAAACAGTTACCTCCGTACACTAGCGCATTGACAGACAACGTCATAAGTCTGGGGTATGAGGGTATCATCTAAAAGCTGATGGGAAATCCAAAGGTCAAACATATTTGCTTGACCAGAAATTTTAGGAGCTACCCAGTTTTAGTGGAGGCACTCTCAGCAGCAGTTTACAATCAGCAACTAGTCCCATTTGAATGAGCGCCGGTGCGGACAATGTGGAGGATGCTAGGTATGCCGTACCCGAACTCTGAAGTGCCGATTTTAATGCTGCACACAATGGGCCAGGAATATTCGATGCCAGAACGCAGTTGGACTAACGATGTCCATAACGAAGCTGCATTCAGAATAATAAGTAAATTTATAGCAGAGCGCCTCCCGAGCGCCGATATAACCATACTATGTTATTATTCTGCAGCAGCGAAAAGAATAGCGGCAATGGGACCTCCGAGCCAAGTTTACACAGTGAACCGCTATCAAGGACGGGAGTGTGATATCGCCATAATAGTGACAACACGGATAAGCGTGAAGAATGTTTATAAAAATACAGATTTCATTTTAGACCCACTTCGCGCGACAGTGGCGCTGTCAAGAGCAAAGGAAGGAATTGTAATTATTGGTGACCAGTCGCTATTGATTCAATCGCCACTATGGAAAACTTATTTGGAAAGGTATTCAGAATGTATGGCGACAATCCAGCAATTCTTTAAATAGCTGGATCAGTGTGAACAAAGGGGCACACAGAGAAATTATTTTAGTTAAAGAAAATTTTATATATATTTTTTTCTTTTTATGGGCTGTGCCCAACGGTTTTTATTTGCTCTTTTTTACGTTTTTTTTTATTTTCGTTTTTGATTATTCTCAATTTTTATTTTTTTCCTTCCTCCCTTTCCTTTTTTTCTTTATTTTCTTTCTTCTTTGCCTTCGACAACCAGCTGAGGCGAAAAAAACTTTGTCTTAATGTGAAAAGACCCGAAGACGGGCAAAACATTTAGGGAGGAACTCAATTCAATCGCTCAAATGTGATCTCAAACTTTTCAACGGTTGTAAATTTATATTAGTTTTGTTGTTTTCTATTTAATCGAAATATTGTTTTTTATTTGGACTTTCTACTTGTATTTTTATGGTAATTTCTTGAATCATTTTTTCCTTGACTGTGTTAATTGTAATTTTTTTTCGATTTTTCTAATCCTATTCCGTAATTTTTATTTTGCCTCTTGCCAAACTCGTCCTTTTAAGATAAGCCAGACGATTTTACTTAACCGAAGCGTTTGTCCGTCCGCCTCGTTCGAAGTGTCGCGACGGCACGCGAAAGGCCACGGGCAATATAGTCGTGCTCACCGATCTGCTCCTAAGGGGACGCTCTTGGAGGGTAGACGGTTGGTTATAGACACTTACCTGGCTATAAAGGGCGAAGGCGAGAGTAAGGGAGGAGTTTTTTGGTGAGATCATAGGATCACGGAATTTGGTCTGTCGAGCTTTGCCTTCTGTCCTTATTCTTTCCTTTGTATCTAATTCTCTATAAGTCGTGCCCTTTGACAGTTTTTAGGGAACAAGTTTGTAAGAATAGAGGTATTCTTCTATTGTACAACTTTCTCTGATCATTTCTGCTGCGTTGCATTGTGTTGGTTAAGGCAGTGGACGGGTGTCCAAAGTCTTTTCCTGTCATATTGTAAAGTTATTAGCAGGTTAATAAAGGAGTTATACATTAAAAAAGGTGTTAAGACAAAACAGTTAAACGTTTGGTGAACTATCAATTAAGTCCTCTCAGGAGTTTTGGTACTGTGAGCGTCGGCGGCTACGTCTGCTTACAGTGGTTAAGGGTAGAAACAGAGTCTCCATAGAGGCATACATAGAGGAGAAAACATCTCCCCAATTAACATTACTGCCGGCAGTCGCGACATCAACCAAAGCTCAGTGAAATGACTCGGTCTCATCATATCAAAAAGAAAAGAGCTGTTCGCGTTCAGTTTTGGAGGGACAAGGCGAAAAAGAATGCTTTATTATGAAACAGAAGGAGTGGTGACACTGGAGAAAGGCGAATCAAAGTTAAATGCTCTAGGGACGATGACGCAGAAGCTGCAAACAGCCAAGATTAAAGATCAACGGTCGACACTTGCAAACTGGACAACAAAGGCGTCTGACATATCGACAGAAGCAGACTACTGCTTCGACTTTGGGATGTACCTGATCTGTATGTCTCTTATTTGCAGGCCAGACAACGGCAATACGGAGTAGGAGCCTAGGACCAGTGAAGTACACGAATTTTGACGTCAATCGTTTCCGGGAACCAAAGGTGATCGCGGTGAGAGATAAAGAAAGCAAAACTGAAGGTCAGTAGGCGTTAGAGTTTTTTGACAAGACAGTGACCAGAGACGAAGAGAGTCGTCATAGTGTCATATGGCAATGACGAGTACGAAATTCCAATCTTTGTGGTGACTTCGCTTTCTGTTCAGAACGCCTGGGGTGGTTCATGAAATGTGTGAACGAAGGTCCTGATCTTCTGAAGGACCATAACAAAATCTTAAAAGACCAACTCAAGCAAGGAATTATCGAGACTGTTAGAAAAAGTGGTGCAGAAGTGATTCAATATTTGCTTCAAAACCCAGTTCTTACGCCAAAGAAAAATACAATCAGACTTTGGATTGTGCATGACGCCAGCACAAAGTGGATTGTAGGGACCTGGCTAAATGAAGTTATTTACCGAGGCCCTGTAATCCCACCTCAGCTCTCTGGAATTCAGCTGCGGACACGAAGCGTATCGGTTACTGCTGTTGGAGCCGGAGAGAAGATGTTTCTACAGATCGCTCACAACCCAGACGGTCAGGTTGTTACACGACTTCTTGGGTGAAAGACATCGCTAAGCCTCCAGAAGGGGACATACTAATCATTTATTGACTTGCTAAACTCTTGTTCGCAATTTAAGCAATAAACTTCTTCTCGCAGTCGTCACACAACATTGCCTGGGGCGAGATAAGCCGTAGCTAGTCAACGCCATTAGAGAAAATCTGTACGTTGACAATTTCTTAACTGCTGTAGAGAATGACAAAGACAAAAATAAAATTTGCGGCTAAGCAGAACACGTACTTAAGATTTTATTCATGAGTCTACAAAGCTTTTCTTCGAACGAGTCAGAGGTTATCAACAAATTACTGAAATTATGTCACGAGAGTGCAGTGGAACAGTCGTTCAGGGGGGTTTACTCAACCGAGAGGCTGACATCAGAAGTATTCATCAGAAAGCATTTGAGGGGAGAACGAAACCAACAGTAGCACAGCCGACTGCCAATCACATTGATCCCGCTGACTTTCGATCTTCAATATTTCTTCCAACGAAAATTTTCTCTCAACTGTATTGGATAAACAAAGTTCACCGGGATGACAACCTTCCTCTAAATTTGACGAAAAAATTGCAGACACTGATGAAAACTTGGGAAATCGAACACCAGCGGTTCCACGACAGGCTCAAATCACAAACATAATATATAATACATATTATATAATATATAATACATAATAGAAAATATATAATATATAACATACAACATACAATATATATTATATATTATATATTATATGTTGTATATTATATATTATATATTATGTATTATATATGCTGTATTATATATTATATATTATGTATTATATATTATATATTA